CTGATAAAGGGATCTAATTGTGTTGTATTTTGTAACAATACTGATAAAGGGATCTAATTGTGTTGTATTTTGTAACAATACTGATAAAGGGATCTAATTTTCATCATAATAACTACAAAACTGCATCTGTAAAACATTGTTTCATGGGATATTTGTACTTAGGTTAATATAGGTCTAAGTATATGAATATCAACTTTAAGTTGTATCTCTGTTGCTTCTTTTTTTTCAGGTGAGTAATATGTTCATCATGAGTCTGGCGATCGCTGATCTCACAGTTGGAATGATAGTTATGCCCATCAGCTCGGCGTATGCTATTACAGGAAATTGGATGTTTGGAATAGTCGTGTGTCAGTTCTGGCTGTCGATGGATTATACTGCTAGCACGGCTTCCATCTTAAACCTGTTCATCTTGAGCTTGGATCGTTACTGGTCTATAAGGTCCCCTTTAAAGTACCTGCGAAAAAGGACTAAAAAGAGGGCGCTAATAATGATTGGGGTCGCGTGGCTTGTGTCGGCTATGTGGATCGTCCCGATCATTGGCTGGCACTACTGGTACAATGACGGTGTTCGAAAACAGCCTGAAGAAGTCTGTGAAACGGAATTTGCCGACAACGTCCTTTTTAAATTGTCTACGTCGACGGCAAATTTCTACGTCCCGATGGTTCTGATGATATGCTTGTACGCAAGGATCTTCCACGAAATTAAAAAACGCAGTAAATTTGAGATTGGTCAGTGCAACACAGGCGGAGGAGGACCTAATGATGAAAATAGGTTCTCTGTAGAAGATAACGTTCCAGATCAAACACGGCCACTGAGGAGCACTCGTTGGAGGAATGGCCGCAGTCTCAAGAATAGAGACGCCTGTCGAAAACGGATTTGTACTTCTTCTTTCGACGACGAATATGAGGATTATGGGGTTGTTGATAAGCGAGTAGGCCTAAACTGTTCTCGAAGTAACGATTTTGTACAGGTAGCTTGTCCCAGAAAGCATCGTGAAAACTACGGAAGTCGAAGAGCTTGCATCCAAACGACGAGCAGGGATTCTGATATCAGCTCATGCTTTCCAAAACAGTCTTCCAAAGATCGAGAGTTTCGGGACATGACAGTTGTGATGCTTCCGTCGCCGGAATACAGCAAAAGAGATCTCGAAACGTCGGTTTTCAAACAGAACTTTGACGAAACTGCTGAGAAAATGGAGTTCCTGCCTGACAACGGAACTAAAATGGAGTTCCTGCCTGACAACGGAACTGATGAACGCGATACGATGTTGCAAGAAACTGAGGCGAGCGGAAACTACCCCACCGCTATCACGCTTGATAGGAAAAGAACCAGCAAGTTGAAGGACACCAGAGAGACTGTTTCTGAGATCAAATCTAAACTGTGTCAACCAACATTACGAAAATCTCGGAAAACTTTCTTCAACCGTAAGAAGAAACAAACAACTTTAGAACTGGTTCAATTGTATTCTTCTGACGAATCAAGCAGAAGAGGCTCTGGTAAATCTAGATATGATCCCGAAATAGTATCCCTTGACCACCATAGGTCGTTAGATCGATTTGATTCTGTTCCCTCTCGGTCTGTCAGCCGTTTGAGTCTCAGGCAAGGTACCCGATTCTTACCAAACCTTACAACCGCACTGCGCATGCGTGTGACAAGAAAGAACATGGCGTCTTCCTTACGACAAGAGAAGAAGGCAGCACGTCAACTGGGAGTTATCATGGGTGCCTTCGTATTGTGCTGGCTACCTTACATAATATCTTTCATTGTTACTGCTTATTGTGAAGACTGTATAGACCCCAAAATTCATACCGCTACCAGCTGGTTAGGATACTTGAATTCTACCATGAACCCTTTTCTCTACGCGTTATGTAATGATAACTTTAAAAGGTCTTTCAAGAAAATGTTCCGAAGAGGTTCCACGAATTCCATGTTTTTTCCAACTTCAGCAAACGCTAAACCCGATCACTTATTTGCCTAATTTATTTCTGTGTATTGGTTTTTAAAAAACCAGTATTGTAATACTAACTCTCAATAAAAATTGATTTTCAATTGAACTGTAAAATCTTGGATGTTCCAAAGTTTCACCTGAAAAAACGGCCATTTTTTTTAGGCTCGCTGTCATACAAGGTAGATGAAGAGCGTTTACGAGCTTTATATCAAAACGAGGCTGTTTCATTAGTTTCTTCACATGGGTGAAAGGTGCAAGTAAACGATATAAAACATTAAGAAAAAAAATAGACGGACATTTTATTTACTGCATTTGTGAGCCACCATAAAAAGCAAAACTTCTATCTTTGACCATACGTTTGCGTGCTATTACTTTAGACTAATTGGCCTTAAGTTTTAATCACAAACGTTTACAGTTTCTTTAGAAGTAGATACAAGTGATCTTTTGACCCTCGTTTTAATATACAGGGAAATAGAAAACTGTCCCCAGAAGTCTATCGGCGCCGGTTCTTTGGGTGAGCGACGCCCACCCTAATGAGCGCCAAAATTAACATTGCAATTTTACAGGGGCAGGAGCACCGAATATAATTTTATCTGGGGCCGGCTCTGAAGCCTATGTAAAACATTCAAGATGAATAACTCGTTGAACAGCGCCAAAGTTAAGCGAAATCCGAGCTGATTAGGTTAAAATATGTTGGTAAATTACAATATCGAGTGTAAATAATTGTACAAGAGAGAGAAAACGAACCTAACCCTTTTTTTTACCCAAGCTTAAAAAGTTCACATTGTAATCACTGGTCTCCGTTATTTCTTACATTTATACGTCTGCAAAACATTGTTTCTGAAAAGGACGGAACCAGTCAGAAAAACTTTTCTAAGCCTACATCTTGTTTATATCAGTACCAATATTCATAAAAAAAACATGTTTTTATTAAGATGAAAATCGTCGAAGATTTATTTGCTAACCTTTCTATATAAATAATAGTAGTATATATATAGATTATTTGTATCATATAGGTAATAATACACACGATACAAGTTGACATTTCATTAGATACAATATGATATATTTTATACAATTTTGGTATCGATCGCATGAACTGATATAATCGCTGATACACTGTATCATTTTACTTTCTCTCAATTCTAGGAGGCCCGGTGAGGGCGCTCGACTCGCAATCTGAGGGTCGCGGGTTCGAATCCCCGTCACAATGTGACTTTCAGTCCCTCTATTTGTTGGTAAAATAGTAGCCCAAGAAGTGGCGGTGGGTGGTGATGACTAGCTGTCATCCCTCTAGTCTTACACTGCTAAATTAGGGATGGCTAGCGCAGATATCCCTCGTTTAGTTTTGCGCAAAAGTCATAACAAACAAACAATTGTAAGAATAATATTGTGTATGATAAAAATATTACATAAAACTGTTGAGCCTTAAAGTATTAACGTGTATTTGCACAACTACAGAGATTGTAGTGGTGATTCACCAATGCAGTTTTAATTACTTCTAAAAACAAAGCTGTAAAATTACAGTTTTTGCACGTGACAAGTTGTGATCCCATCAAACAACATACATTAAAGTTGAAATTTGCCTATATCATTCAATATAAATATGTTTTAATTTTTCTTTATCAACACGTAGGTTGAAGAATTACCTTTGGAAAAACGCTAGTAAGTCTTTCTTTTTTTTAGCATATCGTTTTAATGTATTAATGTCTGGCCAAAGGATTTTAAGCTTCTTTTGAGCTATCTAGTGTTCTAACAAACGTCACTCGTCTTATGGGAATATGTACATTACGATAACGGTCAGATAATAACATAATAATTTATATAAAAAATCGAGCTTTCGAATATACACGTAAAACATATTGATTTTTTTAAGTTATTAATCTACTTTCTCCAAATCACAAACATTAACTACTTACTTTTATAACTGGAATAATTATAAGAAACTTCTTCCAACAAAAGTTACTCTAACTGTATCCGTCAAGAAAGTATATAATTTGACTAATTTGTGACTTGATCAAATATATACATTATATTTTGGAAAACCAGTTTATTGTTGTCAGCGGTATAGTGTTGGTAACAATATAATAAAAAATGATAAGCATTATTTACAGACACAAAAAAGGTTTGTCTATTGTTCAGCGGGATAAGCGAGACTCCAGAGCAATTCTGTATTTTCAAGTATTATTTCAAAGTTCACTGAGTCTTTACTGATTAGAATTTTCCAAGGATCAAAACTAATTGGTTAATTAGCGAGTAAAATCTTTTTAAGATGTATCATTTTTTTGTGAGAAATATAAAATGTAAGTAAAAGGTTCGAAGGTAATAATATTACAAAAATATTGAATATTTACAAAGGCTGAAAGTTTACAGTGCTTTACGTTGACATTTGACTTAATGACTCCTCAAATTACGTTTGGGATTGGAAAATCTTTATCCAAAGACTTTGTGTTTGTTTGTTATTAAGCACAAAGCTACACCTATAGATATTTGTGTTCTTGTCCACCGCGGGTATCGAAACCTCATATTTAGTGATTTACCGCTAAATTACAGTGAGGCCTTTCTCCAAAGAGTTGTTAAACTATTTTGCTTTTTTTTTACTTCACTATACATCTCAAATAACATTTTATGGGTTTGATATACCTAATTCAATTGACCTCAGGTTTGCCCAATTTATTGTTATTGGATTAAACTTGTCCAAAATAAGCAAAATCATAATTTTAGTGTTTTTTTTTTACTATGACACGTTTTTTATTTTATTTTATTGAATACCTTAAAATACTCAAAAAAGTTTAGCTCAAGCCCAACAGTCATTTTTTTTTACATTTAATGTGGAAAAAACTAATAAATCGATTAGATTATTTGAAAATCTTTGATAGTTGTGTTGCGTCAGCGAGGTCACGTGACTAGTATCACGCCACTTCTTTCTCGAACCTTCGGGAGATTACTAGATTGGGGGTAGGCTGGTATATATAAGATGGTCACAACGTGACGGGACAACAGTGTAATGAGTAATTGAATGTATGCGGACAAAATATTGTTGGCCTCGTGAGACGTGAATTATAGTGTTGTTATAGAGCGACTGTTGAAATTAAGTGTATCGTAAAGTTGTATTCGGAACGAATAAACCAGTTTTATTTAAGAAAGGACTTGTGTCGCAAAAGTTTCGTCGGAACGAAGTTACGGAAAATTAATTAACGACTGGAGGCGTAACAGTTGCATTGTTATTTACCACCGTGAACAACAGAGAGATAAAAAAAGTATAACAGTGGATGTTATTTGACAATCAAACAAGACAGAGGAGATATGCCTCCCAGTGGCACAGCGGTATGTCTGCAGACTTACAACGCTAGAAACCGGGTTTCGATATCCGTGGTGGGCAGAGCACAGATAGCCCATTGTGTAGCTTTGTGCTTAATTATAATAAACAGAGGAGATATCTACTCCAGCTGGTGTATGGAGCTTCTGATTGCAATAAGAACAACCTTGGTAAATTTACTTTATCACCAAGATCAGCTTCATAAGTGATCAGAATTGTAGATCTAGGGGACACTAATATAAATTTTGGCAAAATAGGAGACATCTTCAATAGTAGATCTAGGGGACACTAATATAAATTTTGGCAAAATAGGAGACATCTTCAACGCCCCCCCCCCAGTAGCACAGCGGTATGTCTGTCGACTTATAACGCTAGAAACCGGGTTTCGATACCCGTGGTGGGCTGAGCACTGATAGCCCATTGTGTAACTTTGTGCTTAATTACAGATAAACAAACCCTTCAACTTCCTTAGCTGAAGATGTCTCCTATTTTGCCAAAATTTATATTAGTGTCCCCTAGATCTACTAAAGTTCAAGGGAAGGCTTGACAAATATTTGAATAATAAGGGCTGACTTAGAGTGTTATATTTTCATTTGAGAATGTAGCTTAGTGGATGAAATGGCTTAGATGGACCAAAAGATTCTTGTTGTCTTTAAATTATATGTCTTTTTTTTTTGTAGAAATTAATAAAATTTTCTTTCTTATTGGTAGAATAAAGTTTTAATGAAGGTAATATATCAGATGAGAGTAAAACAAATAACAAATGTAATATATTAAGTCTTTCAAACTTGTACCAGACTTTTTTTACTTAATAAAATTAATAGGATGAAAACAACACATAGATTAATAATTCAATGAATCTTTTTTTTAAAGAAATCCTAAAACCTGCAAAATAAGAAATAAAAAAAATTCGAGATTCATTTACTATTTCGTTTCTAAAATATTTATTCTAGTGTCATTTACTTAATGAGCTTTCAAATAAAAAAAGGACTAAATATATTTTTCATATCGTCATTCTTAGAGCCATTTGTTCATTTAATTATAATAATAACAATCTGTTTCTAACTGATCTTTGTAGCTATATAAATATAACAGTACTGTCTGTTGTCTGTCCACGTAACTACTTCGCAGGGTGTGGATGGATCTCCACCAAAATTGGAATATATGTTCATTAGATCCATGCGGGGGCACGTACAAATTTACAGTTTTGCATTTTGCGTTTTGCGGTTTTTATGGACGTTTTTGCATTTTCGCCTACTTTACCATTACTTCGTTCCCTATTGATGGATCTTCGGCAAATTTGGTATGAAGGTTTGTTTGGGGAGATACATACAAATTTTCAATTTCTCATTTTGCGGTTTTTATGGGCGTTTTTTTACCACTACTTCGCCCCCTGTTGATAGGTCCCCCCCAGTGGCAGAGCGGCATGTCTGCAGACTTATAACGCTAGAAACCGGGTTTCGATATCCGTGGTAGACAGATCACAGATAACCCATTGTGTAGCTTTGTGCTTAATTGCAAACAAAAGAAACCAATGTGCAAATTTACTCTCTGCAATCCGAGTTTTAATATTTTTTAAATTAGTAAGCTATTCCTGTATCTAACTAAAACACAATGAAAATGTTTGTTTCTAGCTTAGTTCTTAAGAAATTGTCAACATTTATTAATATCAATTTCATAAAGTACACTTATTCAACAAGATCAAATTCAT